AATGAGCTCTTCGTGGGGCATGTCGCCATGGCCGATGATTGGCTTTGCTGTGAGTCTTCGTGGCCTCTGCTTTTGCCTTTGCCCTCTTTCAACTATAGACTCTCAGCTGAGTGTGATTGTACACATGTGTTTTGTATATGGCTTGGCTGGTGCGGGCATCTTTGCTTGGGGAAGCTCTAACACGGAAGGGAATTCCATCCCAGTTGAATCTGGAAACTGGAATCCCAATTTACGAAGCCGAGCCGCTCCTCATGTTCTTCATCCTCTTTGTCAAGAACCAGTTGATCCCAATAACTCGAGTTGTTGGGAGAGGTTTAATCGTGGATCATATACCGCAACACTAACACGCCCCCTCAAACGAAAGCCACTCACAAGGGCTTGAAGTTTGCACAGGTCTGAAGACAAGAATACCATGTGCTTAACAAATGGGGGTCACCGGGAATCGAACACAAGACCTCTCGGTCACAGAAGGCTCTGATACCATGTCAAGAACCAGTTGATCCCAATAACTCGAGTTGTTGGGAGAGGTTTAATCGTGGATCATATACCGCAACACTAACACTCTTCACTCTGTTGGGCGCCATCGAAGCCTTGGGTGACAAAGGACGCTTCATCGACGACGAAGAGCCCACAGGACTCGACAAGACCGTCATCACCTCCGGCAAAGGCCTCCGGGGCGCTCTGTGTAAGCCCAATTCCCGTATAGATCATTAGGGAATAATTGTGGCCCAAGTGTAATTATCACTTAATGGTTTAATATATAAGGTAAGTCATATATTGGTTAGGTTAATGAAAGGTAATTTCCTAATATACCCTGATGGTGGGTCTATATAAAGAAACCCTAGGATTGGTCCTCTCTCAACCCATTACGTAGAATTTCTTAGCCGTCATAGAAATCTCTAAACCTAAAACCTAAAGGGATCAAGAGGGAGAAACTCAATTCCGGTGATTACTACTCAAGCCTCCGCCCCCGCTCTCGTCATGGATCGAGGTAGGTTTCCTTGATCTATTACCGATTCGTGAAATCATCTAATTCTAAGATCCATGCTATTATGATTTATGTTTACATGTGGTATCAGAGCCTTAGGTTTATATGAATGGATGATTTTCGATTATGTATTATGCTCGATTAGTCTCCGCTGCGTTTATATCAATCGCTTATACCAGGTAAAAATTGTGGGTATATGGTTCCGAATCTCAGCCCTGTTCTACAATGCAAGGAATATTGTGGGAACTTCAGAGGAAAGTGAGGCAGTTCCACCAATCACACGAAACATTCTGGCTGCACAATCAAACGATAGTGAACAGGAATTTAGTTGAGTTCTCCAAATGGTAACCTCCCATGCCTCTCCAATGATAGTGTGTCCTTGGAATAGAAAACACCATCAGCTTACTTGTGCTTTTCCTCACCACGATCTACTTGTTGGTCGAGTTGCAGCTGGAGTTGCCTCATGGTGCTAATTCAGCATCCTACCCGAATTTTGCTTGCTCAACAAACCTCCCCTGCTTTTTTAGTACATTCACAAGTAAAGTTTCCAACATCTCATCTTAAGTATAGAGAAATTGGTGTAGTTTCGTAGGATTGGAAGCTGGGGAATGTATAGTGGATCCAAACTAAATGTAGATGGCAGAAACTGAAGAACTTGTAGATTACTTTATCGCAGTCTAATGTACTATTTGTTGAAGTGATGCATTTGTATGGTCTTCTAATATTGCAGGCGTTTCTGTTGGGCAGGCACTGTTTAGATGGCTAATATTGCACTCTTGACAAAACAAGGGTAATAAATCTGTTGCAGAAATAGAGACAAAACTCGTGAAATTTTAGGCCCAACGCTTGCATCACACATCATTTCAGTGACATTTTTTAATCGAACCAACCAAAATTTATATGTATCATGCATGTACTCATGGTACTTCTTGAAATCACTATGAAACTCCATTGTCTATTTGTGTAGTTTTCATCTCTTTCGAAAGTAAATCATTACCGTGTTTGTGTTTCTCCCCATGCCCCATTGTCTAAAAACAAATTCATATACATCAAAAGACCACAAACAGAGAAGAGGTCGACTGCTAAGATTCTTTGATTGACCTTATGATGAAAAGTTCGATTATTACAGTGTTTATGTTTCTCTCCTTGCCCCATGGTCATCCTTTTGATTTACTAGTATTTCACGGACAAATACTTTGGTGTTTTGACATTTTTCCTTCTTCACCAGGCTCCAAAATCACAAAAATTTGTTTACACAGTTTTAGAGTGATAAACCTATAATGTATAGATCATTTATAGGGCTTTTGTTCCATTTAACTCGAGTTAAATGATAGCAAAGTCCTTATTTAAACTGAAACCTTTCTAGTGGTGGAATCTTGTTCCAATTTTAATGACATAACAATTAACTAGTCGACCGTTCCATTGTAGCGGCAACCATTATTTTCTTTCTAATAGTGGAGTCCCATTGCAATACTGAAAATGCTTTTAGTGGTGAAATCTTGTTCCAACACTGATAAGGTAATGACCAATCAATCTATTGAAGTTATAGATCATTATTTTCCTTGTAATGATGGAGAATCGTTGGAACAAACAAAGCAGGGGTGTAAGTTTGATCATAAAAACCCACTGACTCGTCCCGACGTCAGTTTAGGGTCGGATCAACTTTTGACCTTATGGGACAACTTAGAAACGGGTCACTTTTAGACCCTGTGGCACTTAGCAACAACAAATTTCTCATATCACATTGGACCTCTTGTAAAGTTTTAAAAGTTTAGGTACTAAATTGTAAACATAAAATTTTTTGGGTACCAATATATAATTTTACCATCAAAATTTATGGATTTATTTGTAAACAACAAAATTTAGGTACTAAATTGCAAGAAAAAAAATAAATTTGGGTACCAAATTATAATTTTAAAAAAATAGTGTCGACCCATTGGCCCGGTCCTTCCAGACCCGTCCTAACCCTTGAGGATCAAACAGAATCAAGAAGAAGATAGTGACGAGACAGGTTAATTATATATCTTGACTTTTAAAGAACAGGTCAGACAAGGTCAGCAACAGAATCAGAGACTAACACAAACAGTTCATAACAATTTTCAACCCTAAAGCAAAATATACCATATGATCAATCGTTTGTCATAACTCATAAGTGATCAACCCTTTTCCAAATTACGTTGATTTTTGTCCAGAAAACTGCTATATGTTGTTGCTGGATAAAAAGAAGTGGTACCCAATTCTTGATGACGTTTAAAGGCCCTATGAAATGACTATTTAATAACTTTGTTTGCATTATCAATCACTAATCCGCTGTAGCAAATTGGTAAATTTCTACTTCCTTGAAATCCGGGTTCAAATCCCGGCAGCGGAATTTTTATTTTTTAATGACAGAACAGTTAACTAGTCGACCCTTTTCCAAATTACGTTGATTTTTGTCCAGAAGACTGCTATATGTTGTTGCTGGATAAAAAGAATTGGCACCCAATTCTTGATGACGTTTAAAGGCCCTATGAAATGACTGTTTAATAACTTTGTTTGCATTATCAATCACTAATCCGCTGTAGCAAATTGGCAAATTTCTACTTCCTTGAAATCCGGGTTCAAATCCTGGCAGCGGAATTTTTATTTTTACCCCTTCTTTGCCGTAGGTTACTTGATCGCAGTCGAGTATACTACTGATTAAAAATACTTAAAATTGAGAAATTTGTACGGTACACAATTGCCTAATTTTTGTTGGTCATGCCGCCATAGTCATGTTTTATTCCTCAGATTGCATGCTTGAGAAATCATTGGTTCGGTTAATTGAACCAAAAAGCCATCGGGAATAAAAAATTGAATCAATGAATTTTTTAAACGAAAACCTTTAAAAGCTTATTTGTTTTCGCTTGACAATTATATATATATATATATATATATTTTTTTGTGTATTTCGCAAGGAGGAGAATCATATTATTCTCTAATTATGATAGTAAATTATAGTAAATGGAGTGAGTAATGTAACATGATAAACATAAAATTCAAATTGCACTCAATGGCTTATTAACTCGGCGTATAATCGATAACTCTCTTTGCATTACGATCCTACCTTAAGAGGTGAACTCCGAGAGTTTATATAGTCTTTCAATCTTCTTTTCTATATCAATCATTCAATCTTCTGATGGTGCAGGTTTCTTCAGGATCAATGCAATAAAAATTATAATTTTAAATAAATAAAGGTTCATATTGAAAGTAACACTCAACAAACTAATAGTATTAACAAGACAAGGCATATCATGAATAATACTTAAATATATAAATGGTGAATAAATAAAAATAATTATTTAGTGGCATAAAAGGGCTATTTCATCGACAAATCAATTAGTATCGACTGTCGTTACTTTTATCTATTGTAATCATATCTGTTTACTATTTCTTCTGACTATGATATAAATTTTTTATTATCATATACACGAAATTCACAATTTGCATTCCCGAGAAGGTAAACTGCTCCCGGAGTTCATTCCGAGTACACTATTGAAGCTGCGAATATCTTTGATAGGTTGGTTGCTTGACTTGATAGGTTAGTTAACATCTGGGTTAAGCTATTGGTAATTACGAGGAAGATGTCCAACAGATCAGTCGACGACAATGGCCACCCAATGCGAACTGGTAAGTAATTAACCCACTTAATGTCTGTTCTAGCCGACGGTAAACACCTTACCGACGGTTGGAGAATCTGTCGACGTTAGTGTCGGTTTGAAAACCGCCGGTAAATTAAAGTAACTGTCGGCAAATTCAAAGATTGAATAACTGAAAGTGACCGACACAAAAGAAAATTAAACCCGACGTTAATGAACCCACCTAGCTACTATTATGTATCATGATTAGCTAGTTTAACTTTCTCACTTAGCTAAAGTTTACATAATCAGCTCCAGTTTAATACAATTGTTTTGATTAATTACTTATTTTCCCAACCAATATTGAACATCATTTATTCACTTGTGTATGCAAATGCAATGCAGGTACGTGGGTGACGGCGAGCGCCCACATCATCACGACGGTGATTGGGTCAGGGGTTCTGTCCCTGGCTTGGGCAATCGCCCAGCTGGGTTGGGTGGTCGGACCGGCGGTTCATCTTCTCTCTCATCACCCTTTTCACCTCCACCCTGCTCGCCGACGCCTACCGCCACCCGGACCCGGTCACGGGCCAGCGCAACTACACCTACATGGACGCGGTCCGGGCCCATTTAGGTGGGCTCAGGGTTCGGCTTTGCGGCATGGCCCAGTACGCGAACCTGGTCGGCGCCACCGTCGGTTACGCCAACTTTCATTTCCTTACTGAACTAATTAAATATATATATATATATATATACGGTGGCTACTTCGGTGCACTCACTTTTTTGGGTGCATTCAGTGCACCCACCTCTAAAAGTGGTCATAATACATTAAATTTTGAAATTTAATGGGTTGTATTGGTCTAATATGATGATATAACATAGAATCCCAACTAATCAACCCATTACCCTAACCTATTAACCTTCAATTTTGAATCTCAACCCAAAATCCCAAATTGTAAACCCTAACCCTAACCCTAAATTCCTAAACCCTGAATCATTCAAATTAAAGTGAATCTTGAATGATTTTTGTACAAATTCATGTGGTTCTTGTTCATCATACCACAAGTGATGATTGACATCGTTTTCACATGAATCGCCTGCTCAGAATGACGATTATGAGGCGGGTGCATTGAATGCACCCAAAAAAGTGAGTGCACCGAAGACATAACCATAACCTATAACCATATGTACGCAGGACGGTTTGGAAATGGAGTTGTTTCCACGAGGAGGACGAGTGCCACGTGTCCACGACGTCGTACATGACAGAATCGAGTTGCAGAGGATGGAATCCTAGTGAACTGAGGATTGAAGAACGGTGGCGTTTAAATGAAGAAGAAGAGGCCTGGTTGAAGAAGAAGAAACGTCAGCGTTTGCTTTAGTTTGTTAGGCGTTAATTTTGCACTGTTTATTTAAACTAATCCCCTATCATGTAAGGACACGTGTGTTGTGTTTGTTAATTAAATTTCGTAGCTATAAAAGATACTGGAAACTCAGTACACTGCTGAGCTTTCCTCTCCAAAATTCACTTGTCCTTTTACAAAAGTCTACATGGTATTAGAGCACAGCGAACCCTAGGGCTTCGACTGCGTTTTTGAAGAATGTCTGGTGAGCAGAGCACGCCGCCACCAGGTGGAAATCAACGATCTCCCAGTGGAGTGAGTGGAACAACAGGAGACATCAACAATGGGCGGTTCCAGTTTGGATCCTTTGGCCAACAGCAGCAACCCGTCACAGAGACCATCACATTTGGTAATCCCTACTACTTGAACCCTAATGAGAATATGGCACAGTCACTGGTTGCTGAACCGTTTGATGGAACAAATTACACTATGTGGGCAAGATCCATTCAAGTAGTGTTAAAGACCAAGAACAAGCTTGGGTTTCTGGATGGATCTGTCCCAACACCCGCACCTGGGTCAGATCTATTTGGTATATGGGCTGCTTGCAACACAGTAGTTTTGTGCTGGATACAAAACTCCATGACTAAAGAGCAGAGACGTGCAGTCCTGAATCACAACAACTGCAAAACCCTTTGGGAAGAGTTGAAGAGGCGTTTTGGACAACCAAATGCCATGAGGATTGCAAACCTGGAAGATGAACTTCTGGCCTGCAAACAAGGTACCAGAACCATCAACTAGTATTATACAGCAATCAAAGGAATCTGGGATGAGTATACAGAATTTTGACCTATAGTGCCTTGTACTTGTGCTCCTGGTTCAACTATGCCCTGTGCAGCAGTTGAGGCCTTTGTCCTAAAACAGGAGACAGACTACTTGATCAAGTTTCTTCGAGGAATCAACCCAGAGTTTGAGGTTATTAAGACACAACTGTTAATGCAGAAGCCACTACCTAGTGTTTCTGAGGCAGTTGATGATCTTTTACAACATGAACAGAAGCTCAAAGCTGATGCAGTTTCAGGAGGAAAGAAGAATCAGACCTTGGCATTAGCAGCTTCGGGTTCTAACAACAAGGGAAATGCAGACAATCCTCAAGGGAAGAAGTATTGCAGATATTGCAACGAACCAATCATAACATTGAGGATTGTTGGTGGCTTAAGAAGAAACAGGGAGAACAGCAGCAGAAGGATGGTTACTCCAGTTCTAGCTCCAGTTCTGGTACTCCCAGGTTTGCAGGGTCAGTGGCTCAAGGAGGAGGGAACAATGTAAGTGATTCTCATTCTGAAGGTCACACAACTAGAGAAGGTATGAGCCAAAATCCATCTGCATTTACTCCTGAGGAAATGGCACGAGTCAGGTCTTTGCTGCAAGTTGGTGCTAATGTTCTACCTTCACCACCTTCCTCACCTTCTGTGAACCACCAAGCCTTCACTGCCTCCTATTATCCACCACCTTTCCCTAACCATTCAGGTATACACATCATTTCCTCATCCCATGTAGCTAAGTCCAATGATAATAGCTTATGGATCTTAGACACAGGGGCTTCTGACCACATAGCATGTTCCACAACCATGTTTACTTCATACCATCCAGTCACAGAAACCTATGTTTTTCTTCCAAATAGGACCCAAGTCACAGTCACCTGTATTGGTACAGTGGTCTTGCCTACAGGGTTAACTCTCTTTGATGTGCTCTTGGTTCCTAGTTTTTCTTTCAATCTCATATCAGTTAGTAAACTCACTCAAGACCAACCCTTGTCCTTACAATTCCAATATGATCATTGTTCTATTCAGGACCTTCTAAGCAGGAAGAAGATTGGTTTTGCAAAAGAGTCTAGAGGTCGTTACCAACGGCTTATTTCTCCAAGTCCTTCTCCTACACCAATCCAACACCAAGCAGCCTCCATCTTCAATTTCCAGCCTCAGGACATCCATCTTTGGCATTGGAGATTAGGCCATCCTAGTCAAGACAAATTGTCCATGTTTCACAATCTTATTCCCAATGTAACTCAGTCTAAGATAGGATACTGTGATGTTTGTCATTTTTCCAAACAGAAAAAACTTCCATTTCCCATTAGCACCAACACAGCACCTGAGAAGTTTCATTTATTGCACATGGATATTTGGGGACCTCTTTCAGTTGTTTCTTATGATGGTTATTGTTATTTCTTGACTGTTGTGGATGATTACTCTAGAAGTGTATGAGTTTATTTGATGAGACACAAGAGTGAGGTCAGAGGACTCATACAAGGCTTCTGCAATTTAGTTAAGAATCAATACAATACCACTGTGAAGATCATCAGAAGTGACCAGGGTAAAGAATTTGAAATGTGTGAGTTCTTTGCTTCTGAAGGCATTGAACATCAGGTTTCATGTGTGGAAACCCCAGAACAAAATGGGAGAGTGGAAAGGAAACACCAGCACATCCTAAATGTGGCTAGGTCATTGAAATTCCAGTCTGGTCTACCCTTGGAATACTGGAGTGATTGTGTATTACATTCAGTTTATCTCATTAACAGACTTCCCACTCCCATTTTACAAAACAGATCCCCCTATGAACTTCTTCACATTGAACCACTATTTTGAAACACCTTAGAGTGTTTGGCAGCCTCTGCTATGCCAACACCCTCTCTCATGGGAGAACTAAATTTGCTCCCAGGGCAAGACAGTGTGTGTTTCTTGGTTTTCCAGCTGGAGTTAAAGGTTATAAACTTCTTGACATTCATGACAGAAGAACCTTTATCTCCAGAGATGTGGTTTTCTATGAAAACATCTTCCCTTTCCACTCCATTTATTAGTCTTCCTCTTCTCCTTCTTCTCCCACCTCCTTGTTCTCTCCACATGCAGATCCCATTCCAGCTCCTCCACTGCATGTTCCTCTTTCTTCCCCACCACTATCTCCTCAGTTTAATTCATCCACAGATGAAGGGGGGCAGCCTGAGGATCATGTTGAGTCAGTTCTTTATGAGCATCATGAGCAATCTGATACTTCTTCACCAGCCAACTTACCATCAGAGGCTCATGATGACTATGTTTACTTTGAATCTGATGATCAAGAACTTCTCCAACAAGCTGATGTTGATCATGACACTGAGCATCTGCAGGATAAAGCCAAATCAAAAAGAACAGTTAAATTACCTAGCAAGTATAGTGATTATCATTTGGATCCCTCAATTTCATTTGGACCATATGGTAAGACTAATGCTTGCAGTAAGCATTCTATTTGCTTAAATGTGGATGGTATGGATCCTGTAGACAGAATGTTTGCCTTGAGTATTGTGAATCATGAGGAGCCTAAGTCTTACTATGAAGCAATCAGATCAGAAGCATGGAACAGGGCAATAAATTCTGAATTGTATGCCCTGGATGAGAATCAGACATGGGATGTGGTGCCCTTGCCACCAAATGTGAAGGAGATAGGGAACAAATGGGTGTTCAAATAAAAGTTTAAGGCAGATGGATCCTTGGAAAGGGAAAAGGCAAGATTAGTAGCCAAGGGCTACACACAAGTGTATGGCATAGATTTCCTTGACACATACTCACCAGTTGCTAAGATAAATACAGTTAAGACTTTTCATGCAGTGGCAAACATGAAGAACTGGAAGCTGGAGCAATTGGATGTGTCAAATGCCTTCTTGCATGGTGATCTGGAAGAGGTAGTCTATATGAAAATACCTTTGGGGTTGAAGGTGGAGTCAGTAGGTAATCAGAAGACTTGTAGGCTTAAAAAGTCCCTTTATGGACTAAAGCAGGCCTCAAGACAGTGGTTTGCCAAGTTAACCAGTTTCTTATTGAAACTGGGTTTCTCACAGTCAGCATCTGACTACTCCTTGTTCACCAAATGGACACATGGAAGAATTGCAGTCCTCCTGGTTTATGTGGATGACATAATCATTGGAGGGGATGCACAGAAGGACCTTGATCAAATCAAAACTGCTTTGAGCAAGGAATTCAAAATTAAACTCCTTGGACCACTGAAGTACTTTCTTGGTTTGGAAGTGAACAGAAACCAGGAGGGATTGAGCATTTGTCAGAGAAAGTATTGTGTTGATTTGTTGAAAGACACAGGCTACCTGGAAGCTAAGGGATGCAAGACTCCTATTGATCCTAAGATAAAACTGAGTGCTAAAGGAACACCTATGGAAGATGGGGAAACCTACAGAAGGTTGGTAGGGAGACTCCATTATCTCACCATAAGCAGGCCAGACATAGTGTTTGCTGTTAAGCAGCTGTGCCAGTACCAGAAGAACCCCTGTAATGAACACATGCAAGCTGCTTACAGGGTTCTGAGGTATCTCAAGACAGCACCAGATCAAGGCATTATGTTTAAGCGTGGAGCAGAAGCTAAACTGATGGGATACAGTGATTCAGACTGGGCAAGTTGTCTAGATACACGAAGCTCAATCACAGGGTATTGCACATTCCTTGGTTCTTCACTACTCACCTGGAAAACTAAGAAGCAAACCACAGTGTCAAGGTCATCATCTGAGGCAGAGTATAGGGCTCTTGCACACCTGGTATGTGAAGTGGAGTGGTTGAAGAGGTTGTTATCTGAACTAACAGTGGAAGTGCCTCTGCCAATATCTGTGTTTTGTGATAACAGGTCTGCTATACATATAGCAGAGAATCCTGTCTTCCATGAGAGAACCAAGCATATCGAAATTGATATGCATGTCACAAGGGAAAGGATTAAAACAGGTTTGATCAAACTGAAGCATGTGAGTACAGGTGATCAGTTAGCAGACATCTTTACAAAAGGGTTGGATCGATTCAAGATGAAAGATTTACTTGGCAAGTTGGGGATTGCAGAAGCACCACCAACTTGAATGGGGCTGACAGAATCGAGTTGCAGAGGATGGAATCCTAGTGAACTGAGGATTGAAGAACAGTGGCGTTTAAATGAAGAAGAAGAGGCCTGGTTGAAGAAGAAGAAACGGCAGCGTTTGCTTTAGTTTGTTAGCCGTTAATTTTGCACTGTTTATTTAAACTAATACCCTATCATGTAAGGACACGTGTGTTGTATTTGTTAATCAAATTTCGTAGCTATAAAAGCTACTGGAAACTCAGTACACTGCTGAGCTTTCCTCTCCAAAATTCACTTGTCCTTTTACAAAAGTCTACAGTACATGATCATCTTTGGCGGCATCCAGCTCATCCTTTGCCAGGTGCCCAACTTCCACAAGTTGTCGTGGCTCTCCATCCTGGCCGCCGTCATGTCCTTCGCTTATTCCCTTATTGGCTTGGGTCTCTCCATAGCCAAACTTGCTACAGGTTAGAAGATATACATCATACATTTATGAATAGATAACCGGAAAGGAATTCAGATATTCACAATAATATGTTACCTAAAAATGAACTTAATTTAATGAAGGAGTTGAGGCGAAAACGACGACGTCGGCGACGGTGTCGGAGGCGGAGAGATTCTGGAGGATTTGCCAAGCGATTGGCGACATTGCATTCGCGTATGCCTACTCCACGGTCCTGATCGAGATCCAGGTAATTAAGTAGCTAGTCAATATTCGTTTTCATATTAGTGAAGGATTAATTATTAATCAATAAAAGACTTGGATTGCATGCAGGACACCCTGAAATCGAGCCCCGCGGAGAACAAAGCAATGAAACATGCGAGTTTTGTGGGTGTCTCGACTACGACCGTTTTCTACCTCCTCTGCGGCTGTGTGGGCTACGCGGCGTTTCGAGAACACGCCCCGGGGGATTTACTCTCCGGGTCTGGATTCGATCATCCGGTGTGGCTACTCAACGTAGCCAACGTCTGCATGGCTATCCACCTCATCGGCGCGTACCAAGTCAGTTCAATTTCATTTAATTAAATTAAATCCCTCAAATTAATTGCCTTATGTATAGGTATCCATTTAATTAATAATATATATAGGTGGGGCTGCAGGTGTTTGCGCAGCCGATTTTCAGCTTGGTGGAGTCCAGCTGTCGTCAGAGGTGGCCAGAGGTCAAGTTCGTGACGATGGACCACCAGATCACCATTCCGTTCCTGGGTGGCACGAGCTTCCAGGTCAACTGGTTCAGAGTGGTTTGGAGGTCCGCTTACGTGGCAGTGACGACCGTCTTCGCCACCGTCCTCCCATTCTTCAACGTCTTGCTGGCCCTCATCGGTGCAGCTTCTTTTTGGCCTTTGACCGTCTACTTTCCGATCGAGATGTATATTGCCCGAGCGAAAGTTCTCAAGTTCTCCTTCTCCTGGATGTGCCTGCAAGCCTTGAGCTTGGTCTGTCTGCTGGTTTCACTCGTCGCAGCAGCTGGATCAGTCGCGGGTCTCATACAGTCTCTCAAAACATACCGCCCTTTTAAGAATGAAGTATAATTAATTAACAAGTACCACCTTCATTTTTCTTACTATATATATATATATATGGATACGACTTGTATGCTCCAGACGCATAGTATACTCCAAGGCTTTGCACCATTGATCTGATCTAACGCTTGTTATTAAATCTGATTTAATTAATTATTTATTAATAAGTATTAGTACCCTTAAATAATTATGAATACATTATAGTCCTTGAATAATTTTAATCATTAATTTTACTATTAAGTACCTTATTTCGTACCTAAGTATATTATTTAAGTAACCATATTTTGTTTAAGTTTGGAGAAATTATTTAAGTAACCATATTTCGTACCTAATAATTTCTCGTAAGTTTGTCCATTGGAACTGTTTTCGATTATTCCCAAAAGCCAAAACACATCAACACCTCCAATTCCATCTGGGTTTTTAATATGCAGAATTTCAGTCAAGTTCCTGCAAATCGAAGCTCTTGCTCTTGCGAACAAACAACAAGCTTCCTCTTCTTCCCTCGTTCAAATCAAATAAACAACAACACAGTACCAAACGAACTGAAAAAAACCCTAATCCCTATTTCAATGCATTGAATTCCATCTTGGTCGAATCAAACCCATATACCCTAAACCCATATATTGTCATTCGAAACCCTTCCAGCAACCATCGGCAACAACAATGGCGGCACCACCTCCTGCCCCCTGTTTCCTCTCGATTCAGGCGCGACGACTCTGCTTCTTCCGAACAATTTCCCTTTTCTTCCACTGAATCATCGGTGAGGCCTTGATATAAGTCAAAACCCAAAAATCCCAAATGGACGGCCCGGAAAGCGGAATCGATTGATTGGCGGATCTCCTCAATTCATTGCCAAAACCCAGAAATCCCATACAGATGAACCCGAAAGCCCACCAGTGTTTCTCCCAAACGATGGTGCCGCGCAGGTGGAGACCAACCATCGGATCTCGTAAGCATAAAGCCGGAAACTCCAAACTCACGAATCTTATGCAAAACAACGAAATCATCATCAGTGGTGTCGTGGTGGCAGAACTGGCTACCAATTTAATTTCTCCATCTGCATATTTGCTATCGCCATCGCCATTGATTTCATCTTCAGACTTTTTGACCATAGAGTTTCGTCGCCAACACGAACCTTCCCTCCAGCTCTTGAGTACGCAAAGTTCACTTCCTTAATCCACGAGCTGAAAGATACACTAAGAAATTCATCTCTTAATTTGCCAGCAGACTTTCAGCGTCGGAGAGAGCGGCTGCATGTGGGAAAAATTGAATTATAGTCGATGGGCAACGACTAGGCAAATTTGATGATGTTCAAGGGGGAGAGGAGAGCGATCGTCAATTTGACGAGTGAAATGTTATCGGGTTGGATAAATAATGTGGAAAGAAACATCAACAAAAAAGGTAAAAGAGGAGTAATGTCACCCGAGATCATGTAATTTTTGGGTGTTTAATTCATGATTATGCTCCGTTGCTACGTACTAATTTGCACATTCTGATTCCTAGAAGCTAAGTGCGTAGTTAAGTTTGACCGGTGGTAGTACATAGCTATCTATATGTAGTCAAGCAAAATGATGTTGATGTCAATATTAAACATGAGAGCTAATCACTTATATATGTTGGAATTTATATAAACATATCGGGCAACGAAAGTGAGATCCGACATGTCACAAGGAGCGGCCCAATTGGTGCAATCATGCATGCAGTATGCATGAGAGCCCAAACCAAGAGGCTTAAAAAAAGTGTACCTACTAACTTACTATGAGTCACGTGTTGGTTTGTAACAGGACTACTAAACTTGGGGCTAAGATTAGGATTCCCTTACTCACATAACTAAGTAAATATCCGCACTTCCACTTTATTAAAATCAAAAGATTTAATGAAGGACAATATAGTAATTGCAATATTATTTTATAATTTTTAATTATTATGAAGTAAATAAAAAACCTCTCATTGTGTTTCGTCAATGTCCGACCGTCCCTTCCGGCCAGACAATTTTTCGGCGCTCACTAGCTTTGCCTTTACTTTTCTGGGAACATTTGCAATTTCCCCACTTCAGCTGAGAGAAAGAGAGAGATTTTTTCCGACGACTGGAGGTGGCTGTTTCAGCGACCGAAGACTGCGAATATGGATTTTTTGGCGACAGTGCTGATTGTGATGTTTGTCGATCTATTTTATAATGTTCATAAGTTCGGTCTGTGAAGTTTATGTAATTTCGGTTTGTATTATTTATGATTCTTATTTGTCATGTTTGTCGATTATATTTGTAATGTTTATATTACGATTTTGTATATACTGTAATTTGTAATGTTTGTTTGTGGAGTTTGTACACTTTTATGTTATGATTTGTATACTTTGTATTCATTGGTTTGTAATACAGGTTTCTTGTATTGTAAGTAGTGATATTCTGTACGGTTAGTATGCTTTGTACTGTTTGTCGGTTTCTTTTGTAAGTTTTTTCATTTTTGTCCACCATGTTCGTAATGTCTTTATTTTCCAAACAACATCATGGTTGACTTTCGGACGGGACTCGCTATATAGAGATGGAGCCGCCAAAGTCAACCCGACTGTTTTTCCATTTTGTATGGTTTGTCGGTCTAGTTTGTCATTTTTGTCCATCATGTTCGTAATGTTTCTATGTCTAAAAAACAACCGGGCTGGCTTTGAGAGGGAACCCCTCTATAGGGATGGAGCATCCAAAGTCAACCTGGTTATTTTTTTTCATATTTTAAGGTTTATATTGTTTGTCGGTCTAGTTTGTATTGATTGTACAGTTCGTATGTGTGTATTGTTTATCGGTCTAGTTTGTATAGTTCGTATGTTTGTAAATATGTTTGTATGTTTTGTCGCTCTAGCTTGTAATGTTTGTATGGTTTGTAAGTCCGGTTTGTATTAGCCAATGCTTTATCATTTTGATTCTTAGTCATTGTATGCTTTAGTTTCTAAGCTATTGTAGTCATGGTTTATAAGTTAGGTTGTTAGGAAACTCTTATGTGATATGCTTCTATCCTATACATGTATGTTTAGTTGGTGACGCGATTATGCATGCTTGTGTTTGATTGATGCTTGATCTTAGATCATCGATGCTATAGACAATCTTTATGGCTCGTAGCATCGATGCATCTTTGATTATGTAACCTTATCCCTTCCACTATAACCATCCTAATCAAGCTTTCGCCACATACAAAAAGAATTATGACTAGCTAATATAATGCCTGCTTTCGCTTCATGCCACTATACTAATTAATCAAACAAGAAAATATAGGGATAACATTAACTATTTAGGTCCTCTACAAACCATAGTAATGGTCTATAGCAATGATGATCGAAGGTATCCAGCATTGGTATCACATAGGTATGCATAGTCACGTCCAACTAACTATACATACACGAGGCATAGACGTATTGAGTTCTTATGCAACCTATGATGATATCATAACCAATACCATACATATTACCATGTAATAAATGATATATGCATCGAATGGTTAGGGCATGTTAAAGCTAAGATATTCTAACGACAATGCATCAAATGGATAATGCATCCAATTATATAAGCATATAATAACATAAATAAACAATGACCAAAGCATCTCATTAAATCAAAGACAGTATATGCATTAAGCATCATAGAATTCTCATTCCTAAACAACAAAAGACTTAGCTGGCTATAGAGGAGATCAATTAGACCACCATTGAAGATGAAGGCATATCCATGAAGCTCTAACAGAATGTCTCCTCTCCTGTGGTTTCTAACTCGAACTCACTAGGACAGACTGTGTATAAAAGTGTGTAAAAACTAAAGCTTAAGTCTCTACTTATAGTACATGGAAGAAGGGGTATTCTAGAAATTTCCTCCTAAAAGTTGGCCAAAAAAGTCCCTATGCCATTGAGATGCGGATTTCTTGACTTGGGATCCAAGTATAGCATATTCCATAATCTTCCATGGACCTACACCAGCGCGACCCAACAACGATCACCACCGCCATGACATTCCTTCCTCCAAATGGGATGATTTTTAGTGGACGGCTCCATAATGGGCTTATTGAGCCGCTCCAATTCCAACTCGTTTGGCTTCTTTTGACCCTTAAGCTTTCATAAATGTGGTTCTCTAGGCCATCAAATGAGCATCTGAAGTCCAAATTAATCCATCTATGTTTGAGCCTATGAGATTGTATTCTCGTCTTCCTTCTGATCCATATGACGATCCATACTCATATAGACTGTACATCCCTAAAATGCACAATAGAACACCAAATGAAGTTAAATACCACAAAAACACACTCAATCTCTATCTTAGGCACATTGATAGAAGGGAAATGTATTAAATAATATAGGATTGATCAACATTATAATTTGAATCTCATCAACTAGTAAATGCATGTTTTCACTTCATGCCACTAACTAATCAATTAAAAACAAGAAAGTAAGGATAGCCTGGTATAGGGTGGTAACTGATGGTAGATGATGATAGATGACGATTAGTATATTTCTACTATCATGTATGCAACTATTTCACAATATGGTATATTCATACCACAATGATACACTTCCATACCACCATGGTATACTCTTATATACTATGAAGCTTATTATGACCAAAGTATAGACTAGTAATATAAAGTCTTAAATTTTTTGTTCTAAAATATATCAAAGTTGATGTTACTTTTAAGAGCATGATTAATCGGAATTTTTGACAAAATATTTTTTGAATTCTAACTTCAAACAAAAGAAGTATATCCCATTAACTTCATTTGATCAACATGGTATAATCTTATATACTATGAAACATTATCACCATAGTATAGACTAGTAATATAAGTCTCGAAAATTTTGTTCTAAAATATTATCAAAGTTGATGTTATTTTGAAGAGCACGATTAATTTTGATTTTTTACAATTTTTTTTTTTGAATTCTAACTTAAAAAAAAGAAGTATATCCCATTAAATTTATTTGATCACATGCAACCAAGTTTTGTTACGAACAAATCTTCTAAGAGTTACATCTTGACTGCACTATTAACATGCTAGGAAGATATTAGACGATAAAGAAAATAATTATAAAGTTTCCTTATCTTCCTTATTTTCACATTAATATCTTGCCTTATTTTTTTTTTTCATTCTCAATCTTTTTCGTCTTGTCATAATTCTCCATCTTTTCTATAAGCAATTATGATGTTGCCTTATGTCCTTCTACTTTTTATGCCAATATATTTATTGAGGCGTTGAATAGTACAAGAAATATTTCTTATAAATAGCAAAGCCACATACAAAGGCTATCATACAACTGAGGACACAAAACTAAAATATAAAATTATATCCTTCCTGTTAAGTTTTTCAGAGATATGGCCAAGTCTTCTACACTATGCTTCTTGTTCTTCCTTCTGTTCATCGTCTCATTAGGTAAACTTCTTACAATAATTATGAAAAAAATAGGTGTGTGTACCATAAAAAATATTATAATAGTCATAGGACAATGATAAATATTTTCTGATTGTTCTTCTTGTCCTCTCTTTGCATGTCGCTCTTATTCATTTCATAAATTTTATTTTAAATCAATCATGTATATGGATGCATTTGATTTGTTAGTTTATTTTCTTATGTACAATTAATTATACTTGTGTGCTGATTGAAAAGGTGGACACAAAATGGTAGCGGAAGCTAAAAACTGCTTAATGACTTGGGATTGCACCACCGTGGAGCGCTGCTGGGATGACTGCAAGAGCCGCTACGGCGGCAAAGGACTTTGTGACCTTATCCCTACTCCTTTTGTTCCTAAGCAATGCCTTTGCTCTTATAAATGTTGAGAGCGAAGAAAAAATATAAATTACGAATAAGTCTTACTAATATGAAATGTCATAATTACATCTACAAAATCCTATAAGCGAATGCCAAAATAGAGCATTTGCCACGTCACCCTTTGCTGAAAGCATCGCACACTTCGGAGGGGTTTTATTGTCATTCTCTAGATCTTCTTCTCTTTCGTCTTTCTCTTCTGATCCGTCCCCAGTCGCTGAAGGTTTTTTTTTTGTATGGAAGTCGCAGAAGGTATTTTGGCTGCTCAATGATCCAGGCTCCTCGGTGGATTCAACACCGCCCTTCCAATCAGAAACCAAAATCTCCAACCACCCACCGGAATGCAAAGAACTCTTTGTCGCCGTATCTTTCTAGCCGCAATCTGTCATTGTAATCCTCCGCCGTTCTTTCTGCCACACTCAATCTGAAAGAGTAATCCCCTCACATTGCCCTCTCTGTTCATTTGAATTTGAGCACAACCTCCACTCTCAATTTTTCCTCCAATCAATTTGAAATCCATATCCTCGCCGTCTCGCTCTCGCCACTTCCCGACTGTCACCGAGAATCGACGCCACTGACGACACTACTGTGTACGTTGCTGTCTCTCAACCAATCTGTCTATCGTCGTCTCTCTCTTACCAAATCTCGGTCGATCTCCCAAGCTATCATGCATAACAGTCCTCTGGGCAGTTAATTTTGCCGCGAATCCATTTTTTTGGATTTTTCAATTGCTTACTGCCCTATACCAATGATGTAGTTCAATCCTCAACAATTCCATACCCTATCAAGTTGGAGTTGACAGTGTCTTGGTGGATTAAGGCCCAAGTTCTCTATTGGTTCCCCCTGCGTGTGCTGCAGCAATGCCGGCGAAACGGCCTCGCGGCAACACTTCTTATGGCTCAAACAATCCTCCAATGAATTCTATCTCTGCTACCACTCGATGTATATACTCTCTTTGTTCTTAGTATGCTATTTCCTCAAATTAAATGTCATATATACGAACTGAAGTAGAAGGGTTTTTTTTTATTTGTGCTTCCAATGTGTCTTTTTTAGGGGAAGGAAGAGCAACTTTTGTCTCCCCTGAAGTCCGACACTAGCTGAAGTTAATGTAGAGAGGGGGCGCCTTGATGGTGGTACGTGAAATTGAATATTGTTTGTAGTGTATTTGAAGTTGCATTTGTCTCTGGGAATTTGGCAGCTATATAAATGAGGAACCCGATTGCCTCGATTGGTCGAAGCGGCGAGGATAATGATGGGAAAAGAGTAGTTGGGATGGCTGCGAAGATCTCTAAATTTGGGTGGCGCTGGTTAAATTTTTGTTTCCAAGCGTATCACTTTAGCATGTTAAGTCTGGTAATTTGATCTCATTATTCTAGGGGCAATTGGAAGGTTTGGGTTTTCAAAGACAGCCTCAATCATGATGAATATTTTGTTTCTTTATTGGCTGCAACCTCTTCCAAACCAATCATCTAAGGAAGAAAAAAACAAAAAGTAATTACAACCTCTGCATGCGGGTGTGACCTTCCCGGTGAGGTCTGCTCCTTAAACAATGGATGGGAGAAAGTAAAAATTGGAGAAGCAGTAGGGAAGAAAGGGGAGCAGAGTGAGGGGAAGAGGAAAAGTCACTCAGAAAAAAGCAGGAGAATGAAGAAGAAATAATAGAGATTTGGGAAGCATGGATTATATTATGATAGAAATCATCAGTTGTGAATCCTTACTGGCGTTTTAGGTGGGGAAGGGAGTTCGTAGCTTCGAGCCCTTTGAAACCCATAGTGATGCTGCAACATGTAGGGATATTACTTCCGGTTATCAAATTATGTATCACCTTTTACTTTATGGTTTTCTTTTTCCTTTTGTTATGCTACTTTTATCCTTACGTCAGTAATTTCTTTGTAATCAGTAATATGATTTGCAAGAGCAAGTGAAACTATCAGCAACAAAATGGAGAATTGAGGCTTAAGTTGTTAGTCTATTTCAATTATACACGTCTCTCGCTTTCGTTGCCGCCAATGGAAATTGTCACCACCAGCATATAACTTTTCCCCAATTCTGCCAAACCCATACTTTTCAAATTTGGACCAATGCTTGCAGATGGAATGGTCGAAGTTACCAATTCAAATTGCTTCAATCGTATTACACTATTACCTCAATATTTTTTACTATACCGGTCAACGGGCCGGACCCATTACTAGTATATGGTAACCGAAATGTGTATGCCTAACTTGTGAATTTATCATTGATGCAACACAAATAAGGAGAATAACTTTAATCTTGGGAAGGTCACCAACAATTCCTTACAAATAAGAAGGATAAGGATTAGGCCATAAATGAATGATTAAAGAGAATCACTTAGGAGAGGAGAACTTCTCTATTTACGAAATGTTTTAAGTCAAATCACTAATAATTCACATACTTTTTTTTACAATGAGATGGATCTTTCATTCAAACCCATAAAGCAGATACAAGAATATGGCCATCAAACATGGGGTGAAACAAGCCGAAGAATGGTAAGCCAATCAGGAGGTAATGAAGAAAGATTATGGGAACGAGCCACCCAATCCACTTGGAAGTTGAGGCGTCGTGGAATCCATTTCAGTTTCAGCTGCCACGAAGAGTCGATTATCTTGCGCATAAGAGCGAGAGTCAAGGCGCTACACCATGGCCAACTCCCCGAATCGTAAGAGAGCGCATTAACTAACCCCACACAATCAGAACGTACAACACATAGCACATTACATCCTTGAGCAAACTTCAAACCTTCCAATAACGCTTCTGCTTCTGCTTCAACTGGAGACGAACAAAGAAACGAGTCAGCCCATTCATCGCAAATCCGCCCATCACCTACTGATGTAGATATGCATGCAGCTAAATGAGTTATAGTTTATGCTCAGAATAGTCCCAGTCAAGGTATTTTCATTTCAAAGCATTTTGTTATTTAGTTGTACTCCTTTTGTCACAATGACTAGGCAAGTTAATTGTTCTTATATCTGTAGGTAGGGGTGAGCACGTGGGTGGTTAATCCGCGGATTGATATCGATCCACCCGCAAATAACCCGACCCGTACGCAGTGGGTGATTGATGTGGGTGGATTGCGAATTGATAAATCTCTCACCCGCACTTACGTGGGTGGGTAGTGGGTGGATTGCGGGTCACCCGTATGACCCGCATCCTATTTTTTACATAAAAAATGTCGTTTCTTATACTATTAAATATTCATCATATTTTCGAATTGCACAACAGTCTGACCATATACTTCAAAAGGTAGAGAATAAAAAATAGTTTTGACTACTATTATTGGTTATTGTGTTGTGCAATATTCATTAGATATTAGATATTGGTATGCAAAGTATAAATTATTAATTGTATCAAAATCACAAATTATTGATACAATCTTACTAATTTGCTATGAACTTATTATAAATGTTAGTCAACTTTCTTAATAGCTAGTTGGAGAATTGCTTTTGCGGGTTGACCCTCGACCCAACCCACCCATTGCCCACCCCTAGTCAACAGGATGGGATACGGTCACATCTCTCAAGCGGGTTGTGAGTTTCACAACCAAGGGCAATTTGGGTAGTGCAAAAAAGATCTTATTAATTACTTTTCTTTTTATATTAATTACATTTTGCAAAATTAAAACTCATATTAAATACATTGTTTTATTGTAAAATTTTGGGTAAATACAATATAATATTCAAATATTTCATTTTAAACAAAATAATAGTCAAACCTTTCAAAAAACAAAATAATAGCCAAACCGTTAATTTTCCATATATTTGACTGTTAGTTGACTCTGACATGACAAAGTGTAAAGTGAGGTGGATTGTTTTTGTGACGTGGCAAAAATCAAATATTTGACCACACCACCTGGATAATACAAAATTTAATAAAATAATTTTTGTGTTAAAAAAAGTAAAAAATTAAATTTTGAAAAAATTCATTTTATCTTCTCGTTCCCTGCGTCGCCTTCCTGGCCTCCTCCTTAATCTCGGTGGCGCTCCCGTCGTTCTCCTCCCTTGACCTCAAGTCCGCCGCCACAAACCCGACCCATACTTCTCCACAAGCCATCCTTCAATTGAAATCCAATAGAAATTTCCCCATTACATTCTCAAGTCTTGCGTTGGGAGTTCATCTCCTCCTCCCCTTTCAATTAAAATCAGCATTGCAATCCTCAGAACTCAGAAGTCAGAGCTCCTCTTCTTCTCCTCTCTTGCGCCCAACGATTGATTGCTGGCGGCTTGAATCCGTGTGTGCGGAGAGGAAAAGGGTGGGCTGAAGCTGAAGGATTTACTTCCCTGACCCTATTGCCTCTCCGCACCCGAGGAAAGGAACCCGAGCTTGATCGGCGGCGTAACATCTGATCTCGCGGTGACTATGTCTCCTACACGATTTCGTAGGATTTTAATGGAGCGTTAAAGGAATTAGCGACGAAATAGACAGGAATCGATAATTGGGTCTTGGATTTGGAGAGGCGGAGGCATTCAATTAGGGCTCTCAGACACCATGGGAAGAAGAGTCAAAGTTAGAGGTTTTGGTTGGATTTTGAGCTTGTGTGGCAGGTCATCGAGTTCATCCACTGTGCGGCGACGCTCCAGGAGGCAAGGATCTGGTTCTAGAAAGACGAGACGAGGTCCGGTATGCTTTACTCCTCCTTTCCCGTTGGGGATGGTATGATCAACCTAGTCAGATTACTGGGGATGCACAAGCGGTGTTGGAGCGGTTACAGACTAATAATCCTCATGATGTTCGTTGCGTCGCAATATATCGTGAAGTGTTATCTCTTCTCCCCTGTCTACCTTTGGTTACTTTGGCCTTCACACCTCGAGAAGCGAACCGGGCTGCTCATATTGTGGCACGTAATGCCCTTCGCTATCCTGATATATGTAATGTATTATTTGATTATTCCTATATGGTCTGTCTTTGAGTCCGTGTAGGGGTTGTAATTGCTGTGACCCCACACGCTTATCTGGTTAATCCATAAGGATTTCTATGACAAAAAAAAAGACGAGAC